AAGTTCAGGAATGGAAATTATATTTGAACGGTTTGGTACAATGTAAAATTGAAAAACTGCATATAAAATTGAAAAAATTGCCTAGCAACCTTCTCCCAGAAATTTTGGTTGATGCCTTACTTTCATTTCTAAGGGAGCATCAGGTACATGAAACTTCAAGTAAAAAGAATTTCAGGGTTACATGTACATAAAGATGATCTACCTCTGCACTTCTTCTCTAATGATACTAATGATAATTTGTGACAACTATATAACATCCAAATCTTCACTGGGCACATGACTTGTTAAAAAAACTGCAGCGTAAATAAGCTCATAATTTAAACTAAAATAATTCTCCTCATTCCTCAAGTTTTATAGCCATTGCATTTGAAATAAACAAGTGAGCCTGGAAAAGCAAAAAAAGAGCCATCTTGACATGACGAAAAGACTGAATAATTGTAATTTCTGTTGATTGGACTCCCATCCTAGGAACATCTTACAATGAAACATATCAGTGACACAAGCCAGTTACATATTGTGAAACATTTTTGTAGTTTCAATTGACAACACATGTTTTTAAATAACAGAAGCCTTGGTTACAGCCAAATATAACTCTCACAGGGTGGTTCTAGAAGCGCAGTGCACCAAGTTATATCCAGGATATGCTGATGATTATGTAGATATTCTATAATGTAAACATGCTGTTACTAACTAAAGACAATACAAACTGTACTCACCAATTGATATGATATGGAGAATGTCTTCAGCAACCCATCTTTTTTCTAGCTGTTCCATCTGGTTGAAGTGTAATCGTCCAGGAAGATGGACCTATTGAAAAAGGTAAAGAAAAATTGATCAACACTTTCTTGTCAGCTATCAGACCTGACACTTAATGCAATGTAGTATCAAGTGGATAGGATGGGATAGGATGACAACAAACACACACTCTACCTAGAGATGTCTGGATGTAACTTCTACAAATCATACTTCAGATAAAGATAAAACTGTACATGCATGTACTCACCTGTTTGCTACTTTGATGCAAAGAAGTTGTTTTCCAATCTTCTGAGAGTAATGACGAGCTACTCCATTGTTTGAGAAATCATTCAGACACTAATCTGAAAGAAAAATGAATTTTAAATACTGGTTAGAGAGTAAATTGCAGTGGTTAGACTACTAAGAAAATGGATTTTGTTTTCAAGAAAGCTGCCTTTAGTTAATAATAGCGGAGCTCCGGCGTCCCCACAGAGCCCAATTTTCATAGAAACTTGTGATTGCTTTTCTCATGGTAAAAATTGGTAGCAGTATTGCTCATGGACATAATACACACGATGACGACGACAACATTGCACAACATGGCAGCCATACTCCAGCTAAAAGGACATGAGGACTTAATTAACAGCATACATCTTTGATATTGGACATCCATTTTATGGTCAACTGACACCTGTCAAAACAAGATATCCTCTGACCAGTATCACATGCACATATTGTGGGTTCAAGTTTTGAGCTCATTAAGGTAAAATGTTCTTTTTTCAAGTTAACCACTGACCAAGTACCAGCTTTTCAATTGGATCACGGGCTCAAACCAGGTTAACTTACTGTAATGAGGGCCAGGTTGTTCGGAACATAGCCGGTTGATGCTAACCAGGGATTAAAAGTTAAATATAGTCAAATGAAATTTAACATAGTTAATGACTAGGAGCTACTCTGGTCAGTAGCATTTTTATAGGCGGTTGTTAGTGTCTCAGCTGTCTGTGAGCGTTTGGTTAGCATTTGGTGCGTTCCATAGCGTTTGATATAGTTCAATGAAATTTTACATAGTTTATGACCAGGAGCGAGTCTGGTCAGTAGCGTTTTTGTAGGCGTTTGTTAGTGCCTTGGCCA